TAACGCACAAGCGAATCTGCTTGTCTTATCAAAAATACGTGAAGTATGTTTTCTGGTAATTATATAAGAACGTTACTTCACTGCATAATGATTAGGTGCACACGCTCGGGAATCCTGTGGAACTTTCATTCTGAACACAGGTTACACTTTTTCCAGCTCGCGGAATATCATGCCGGGTCAATTGCGATTGCCATTTCGCGTTGCGGGATCGTTACACATAATGTTGCATGCTCGTAATCACGATGGACATGTACGCAATTACTAGTGGCAAGGGTTGCGAAGATTCTCCCATCCGGCGTGAATCCCACCCCTGCAATTATGCAAATAAATAAACGATTTATAATTAGAGCCCTGTCTCTAACCAGCGTGTGTTTGTACACGTACATACTGAAAATTTTCCATCAATTTCACAGCTATGATAGTGCAGCTCGTGTTAAATGTTCTCTACGACCTTGTTTCGAAATTCATGATTTACGATTTAATAACTATGTGAGTTAATGTCTTATTCGCAGTTAGTAATATTCATAGTTTCTCTCTCGTACAATAACTTTTTTGACTTGTGGTTTTACGCAATTTCAAAATCTCTGTTACTAATGAGAAATTGCGAAAACGAAATTAATGAGTTTGGTGTAATGTAGTCGTTTTTCAGTAACTGACAATGGATTCTTGAATGGTTTAATTAAAAGTCCTTATGGTTTAGTTAAAACCTATAGATACACCTTATCTCTCTAAAAATATTAATTTGATTAGTATCAGACACAGATTTTTTTAAAATAATTGCACAAGCAATTATTTGTGTTTCTCTTGTTATAAAATACTTTAGATGGTTGATTTATCAGAACACGTAACGAGGAAAGTTGCTGCGGTTTTTGTATAGAGTAGAACAAATTTCACTGTCAGCTTTATAGATTATTATCGTCTGCGGACGTAATTTAGAGATGATCTCTAAGCGAGGTTTCACTTTTTATGTCGTACAGCTATAAGAACTTATCTTGATTAGCTGCATTAAAAGAAAGGTGTTCTCTACTGACACACTTACTAAATGTGTTTAGAAATAACGTCACGCGCAATTATAAAAATAATTCTGATAATTCTACAATGAACAACGATTTTAATTATTGTACATAGATCATTTTGTTAATTCTGATACGATTCCTAAAACTCTAAGTCTTTGTGGTTTCTCGCACGTATTTAATCATTCGGCGAAAGTACATTCACGATTATCAAGACTCGTCTCTCTTTTTATCAGTGAGCAAGAAAACTCCTTTCACGTTCCTTTTACTCTTCTTCCGTGATACTTTAAAATATTATCCATTTCTATCGGTTTGCTGAAACCAAGAGATAAATTTCTATTCAATTTTTTTCAAAATTTTTCTATTTTACATACGATGACCACTTATTTTTGAACATAATAAAAAACGAAATGGCCATTTTAGAGAAGCAACAGATCTAGAGGACAGATACATGAAATAAAAGATTGTGTTCTTAAATAAAGGACAAACAGTCACCGCAAGTATATGTGTCTTACATTAAAACGATTTATTCTACTTGCTCTCTCTTGATAAAGTAAAACAGTACCACGATTAAGGTACGGTGTTTCCGATTCGTTCTAATCGATTTCAGACAACTGTGCTGTGGAAAAAGTGTCACGAAAAAGATCGTTCCGCGGTTGGGAAACTGGCGAAGCTTATTTACAGTACTTAGAGTTAGCTGGGTGTTTAAGGTTGAATTCTCGAGTTCGACTGCATGGTTGACTAGGTAACGTGACGTGAAACACTGACTTTTACTTTCAACGCCCGATCCTGTGCTACGTATGTCCCTCGCGGCCGGATAAGGATAAACGAAACTGGAACATAGACCCGTGCCCGAACTCTGTTTCTTATTCCTATTTACTGTTGACTGAAAACCTATTTTAGACAAGTACGGTGTCTCACGTTTTTGGTATTCGCTTAAAATCGTATTATAGATAATTCAGATTAATTATGAGAAATGATCTGTCGGGTAATCTTCTATGAATAATAGGACAATTATTGTTTCATGCTCAACAAGCCAGTTATGAATTGTCTTCCCCTAATTTCTTACATTTTTCTATTTAAGTTTCTAAATTTTTCAAATCATCGTCTAATAAGCTGACTCATTTTCATAATTAGAATCAGGTAACAATTTAGTAAGTGAACTCATGAATTGATTCACGACGTCGTTAAGCAGGATCTGTAATTTGAGACAAGTACCGCTTGTTCTGACGAAGTAAAATGGTTAGTCACAATTACAGGAGATAATTGATTCACAGTTTTAGTTAACAAACTTTGTTACTTCTTATTCCTGTAAGCAGGTTAATGAAAAACACTATCATTTTATAAGACGCAAAATAATGACAATGGCAATTAAAGAAGAACGAAACTCAATTCTGTAATCAACCATTCGCCTCTTTCGATGAATTTCACTAGGAGAAATTAAATTACGTACGTTTATGCATTTTTTTATACCCAACGTGCATTAATTTTCTTTTAACTGATCACCTCACGTAACGCACAAGCGAATCTGCTTGTCTTATCAAAAATACGTGAAGTATGTTTTCTGGTAATTATATAAGAACGTTACTTCACTGCATAATGATTAGGTGCACACGCTCGGGAATCCTGTGGAACTTTCATTCTGAACACAGGTTACACTTTTTCCAGCTCGCGGAATATCATGCCGGGTCAATTGCGATTGCCATTTCGCGTTGCGGGATCGTTACACATAATGTTGCATGCTCGTAATCACGATGGACATGTACGCAATTACTAGTGGCAAGGGTTGCGAAGATTCTCCCATCCGGCGTGAATCCCACCCCTGCAATTATGCAAATAAATAAACGATTTATAATTAGAGCCCTGTCTCTAACCAGCGTGTGTTTGTACACGTACATACTGAAAATTTTCCATCAATTTCACAGCTATGATAGTGCAGCTCGTGTTAAATGTTCTCTACGACCTTGTTTCGAAATTCATGATTTACGATTTAATAACTATGTGAGTTAATGTCTTATTCGCAGTTAGTAATATTCATAGTTTCTCTCTCGTACAATAACTTTTTTGACTTGTGGTTTTACGCAATTTCAAAATCTCTGTTACTAATGAGAAATTGCGAAAACGAAATTAATGAGTTTGGTGTAATGTAGTCGTTTTTCAGTAACTGACAATGGATTCTTGAATGGTTTAATTAAAAGTCCTTATGGTTTAGTTAAAACCTATAGATACACCTTATCTCTCTAAAAATATTAATTTGATTAGTATTAGGCACAGATTTTTTTAAAATAATTGCACAAGCAATTATTTGTGTTTCTCTTGTTATAAAATACTTTAGATGGTTGATTTATCAGAACACGTAACGAGGAAAGTTGCTGCGGTTTTTGTATAGAGTAGAACAAATTTCACTGTCAGCTTTATAGATTATTATCGTCTGCGGACGTAATTTAGAGATGATCTCTAAGCGAGGTTTCACTTTTTATGTCGTACAGCTATAAGAACTTATCTTGATTAGCTGCATTAAAAGAAAGGTGTTCTCTACTGACACACTTACTAAATGTGTTTAGAAATAACGTCACGCGCAATTATAAAAATAATTCTGATAATTCTACAATGAACAACGATTTTAATTATTGTACATAGATCATTTTGTTAATTCTGATACGATTCCTAAAACTCTAAGTCTTTGTGGTTTCTCGCACGTATTTAATCATTCGGCGAAAGTACATTCACGATTATCAAGACTCGTCTCTCTTTTTATCAGTGAGCAAGAAAACTCCTTTCACGTTCCTTTTACTCTTCTTCCGTGATACTTTAAAATATTATCCATTTCTATCGGTTTGCTGAAACCAAGAGATAAATTTCTATTCAATTTTTTTCAAAATTTTTCTATTTTACATACGATGACCATTTATTTTTGAACATAATAAAAAACGAAATGGCCATTTTAGAGAAGCAACAGATCTAGAGGACAGATACATGAAATAAAAGATTGTGTTCTTAAATAAAGGACAAACAGTCACCGCAAGTATATGTGTCTTACATTAAAACGATTTATTCTACTTGCTCTCTCTTGATAAAGTAAAACAGTACCACGATTAAGGTACGGTGTTTCCGATTCGTTCTAATCGATTTCAGACAACTGTGCTGTGGAAAAAGTGTCACGAAAAAGATCGTTCCGCGGTTGGGAAACTGGCGAAGCTTATTTACAGTACTTAGAGTTAGCTGGGTGTTTAAGGTTGAATTCTCGAGTTCGACTGCATGGTTGACTAGGTAACGTGACGTGAAACACTGACTTTTACTTTCAACGCCCGATCCTGTGCTACGTATGTCCCTCGCGGCCGGATAAGGATAAACGAAACTGGAACATAGACCCGTGCCCGAACTCTGTTTCTTATTCCTATTTACTGTTGACTGAAAACCTATTTTAGACAAGTACGGTGTCTCACGTTTTTGGTATTCGCTTAAAATCGTATTATAGATAATTCAGATTAATTATGAGAAATGATCTGTCGGGTAATCTTCTATGAATAATAGGACAATTATTGTTTCATGCTCAACAAGCCAGTTATGAATTGTCTTCCCCTAATTTCTTACATTTTTCTATTTAAGTTTCTAAATTTATCAAATCATCGTCTAATAAGCTGACTCATTTTCATAATTAGAATCAGGTAACAATTTAGTAAGTGAACTCATGAATTCATTCACGACGTCGTTAAGCAGGATCTGTAATTTGAGACAAGTACCGCTTGTTCTGACGAAGTAAAATGGTTAGTCACAATTACAGGAGATAATTGATTCACAGTTTTACTTAACAAACTTTGTTACTTCTTATTCCTGTAAGCAGGTTAATGAAAAACACTATCATTTTATAAGACGCAAAATAATGACAATGGCAATAATATATTGCGATAATACATATATATTTGTATATATTTGTTTATGAGGTACATATGAGGTACATATGTATAATTGTAATCATCTGTTTAGGTCGATGATCATAGAGCCACGAGTCGTGGTACATTAAGGTTCCAAACCACTTCCAAGTTACCAGAGGAAGCGACCACTTTACCATCAAGATCTCAAACGGCAAGAAGCAGGTCATCTCAATCGAAAGGATCTCCGAGTTCGGACAGACGCAAGGAAACGATCCTGCCAGAATTAAAGTTTGACTCCGCGAGACAGTCGAGCATAAAAACTACCAGAACCACTGAAGGAAATAGCTTTTCTACGACGACCGAAACTCCAATCGATTCCAGAAGAAATCCTTTGGGAAAAAATAGGGAAGAGGTCAAGAGGGTAGAGCCAGTGAATAGGAGAAACGGTAGGAGATTCCCTTCCGAGAATAAAGAAGAATCGAAGTTGAACGATGATCAGAAGACGAAAGGGACTTCTCGAAGAACGTCTAGATTGGGGGCTACTGAAAGATTGGACAGTAGAGGACCGTCAGTGTTTCAAGCAACCACAGAGTCATCGAGGTCCAGAACTGGAAGGAAAATCCAAACAGCGTTCTCGAAGAAAGATGCGAAGACGCAAATATCTTCTTCCAGAAGGTATAGTAATAAAAGTAATAGAGGTAACAGAAATAATAGATTCCTGGCTGAAAGTACTACGATATCACTTCGAAGAGGTAGATCCACTACAGAGAAGATTGATAGAAGCACCAGGTCTGGTAGATCGAAAACGAATCCCAAGGAAAACGATATGGTAACCATCAGAAATTCGGATGCGATTTTATCCGAATCAGAGAGTGTCAGAATTGATATTCCATTGACAGTCAACAGAACAGAGAATCCAATCTTTGACACAACTACAAGTCCGACTTTAATCTCTCAGAGAAGATCGGACAACAAAGAATCCCGATCTAATCCACGAACATCGACTGAGAGATCGAAAGCTCGAGGACGGTCGAACGATGTCGAGACCCATGGACCCAGAACCAATCGAAGAGGATCCTCCAAGTTTAATGATCGAACAACCACAGAAGCGGCTGATCAAACGAGTACAAGAAGAACAGTTTCTCGTGATCGTTCAAGAGGATCGGAGACCAAAAAGAATTCTATAATTGAGCCTCGGTCGAGATCCAGGAGTAGGAATTCTGAGAATAGTGTAACGCCTACTTCGACGGAGCGAGAAGTGAAACGCAAAGTGTCTGGTGATAGAAGATCGCGGGTGCTTGACGTTACATCGAGATCTGTCGAAAATCGTGTCCAGGATACGCACGATACGCGTCGATCAAGAAGCAGACCAAAACCGGATGTTAGCACCCCGTCAACTACTACTGGTGAGTCACAAAAATTTAGTATCATTATTATCTAGTTACAGTACTCTGATGTTTCAAAATATTTGGAATTATAGTAATGATATACAACAACAGATAATATCTTTGTACACAGATGTTACAACTGTTGCGTCCGATACAACAGTTTCCAGCTACGTAACAACAACAGCCAACTCCGAAATCACTGGTACCACCAGTACAAGATCAAATACGTCGTCGACTACTCCAAGTCCACGAACAACAACGACGAGATCGTCTTCAACCTCTACTTCGACAACCGAAGCTTCAGGAAGAGGTAGAGGAAGAGGCAAAGGGAGGAGACAACAGAAAGAGGACTTTTTTAATCAGGGCCTGGGATTTAGAGGTCGGAAGCCAGTTCCGGAAGGATCGTTGAACACGACCGAGATCAGAAGGACGGTTCCGTCGAGAAACGAAACTCAGATCCCCGGATATGGCTGGACGCTCAGGAGGAGACCAGGGTACTTTAATAACTCGGAGAACGCTTCGAGACAAGTTCTGCCTTCCGCGAGGGATCAAACGAACGAGGTGATTCCACCGAACGAGATATCCACTAGTACAGAAGTCGTAACGACGGTCGAAACTTCGACGAGGAGAGGTTTTATGAAGGTCCAAACGACGGATGAGAGTACTACGGTGGCTGGTGAGGCGACGACCAAGAGCAACAGGAGGGGTAACAACAAGGCTTTTGGATTGGGCAAGACGACTGCTGAACTCGAAGAGAGTGATAACTATCCACCGGAATTTAAGGCAAAATTGTCTCAACTGGTGAGTTTTATTATTTAATGTGTTTTTCAATTTATTGTTTATTATTATAACTTGTTCCATAAAATGAAATTGCAAAAATTATAAGGATATTAAGATTACTTAATTATATCAAACATGTATCTCGTTCTTTCTGATGTGAATAATCTTTGTTAGATATAATGTATTATAAAAAATAAGTTAGATTATATAAAAATCAAAATAACTAAATATAACAATAAATAAATAAGAAATTCGCATTGTATTACGTTGTCGATTATCAATGCGATAGATAAAGTGCACGCTAATCGAGAAGTATGATTTCAGCAGAACGTCAGCGTGAAACTAGCAGCCCCAAAAACCACTTCTAAGTCTCCATTGGAGGTAAGAGTCCGGAGGGTGTTCTTCCGAATCAGCTAACAGCATCCGAATGATCTATGAGTCTCTATGCTTCTCTTCTAGTTCAACAACTTTCAGCTTTTTATTCCAATGAACAGACTGGCTGTACAATCATTGACGTTGACTACGTTTTGTAAAATAGAAATTGAGAATGATATATTAAAGACCAGACTGACTGAGACTGATTGAAATATGTACAGTGTATTATACTACGAAATAATATCTTCTAACACCAAACAATTTAATCAGCATGCACGTAACAAAACACGGTTACCAATTTACATTTTACTATTTCTCTCAATGATTTTGACATTGTTCTGTATGAAATATAATATCCCGTGGAATATTAATAGGGATATAATTTCTGTGTTAATGTGAAGGACTCAGTATTTGTCTGTTGAATCGAAATTCGTGTAGGCTCGACGGAAGAGTAACTACGGCCGTCGTGCGAGGATAAATTCGAGGGCGTTCGAGCTTGATGACCTCGAAACCGCAGCTTCAAGAAACGTTTTGGCCGAAAGTTTAATCGCGAATCCATTTGCGTCGATAAATGACGCAGGATTGCAACGCGTAAGAGCCACTGACAAGTCATTAAATTACGCGATTTTGTGATAAAACGTAGAGCTTTCGTGGTTTTGGACAAAATCAAACGAAACATGGTCTCCGCAATTATAGTGGCTTTCGATCATCGTTTCGTCGATCATCTTCCGATAGAAGTGCTTGGCCATTATTTCTCGATTTAAAAATAATTCACGAGAACAGTATTTTCTTATTTCGCTTTAAATGTTCTATGGCTTCATGTAAAGCATCATACAAATAAGATTTGTGTCTGTACTATCTGTTCTTTCTATTACAAAATTAATTCTTTCATCAACATCAACCACACGCATGAACAACACTGAATGTGATCTGAATTTGGTGGTATAAACTATGAACTATCTAATCATTCGCTTTTAACATCATTGACGACCATTTGGGACTGGGCAATGATGTCTGTGCAATTAAGAAATACGAAAAGGAGCTGATGGTCTTTTTTTGTGGTGGTTGGTGATAAGTCGACGATTTTGGAAAATATTTTGGATGCTTTAGATGTCTGGGGTGTCATCAACCGCTTTGATGATATCGTCCTCGACCTCCAAACGCGACTGGACCGAACGATATCGTAACACGAGGAACGAGGAATCCTCGACGAGGAGTTCTCTCAAGGTCCAAACCGATAAAAGCTCCTATTTTAACTTTCTACTGCAGTAGCAATGAAATTTTTCGTTTTCCTCTTGAAACAAAAATTTGCCCTCGTTGCATCTCAAAGCGACTGTATAATTTGTCTGTCTCGTCGACAGTCGTCCAAGAGAATCCCACTTTTATCTCGAGTAAACTGGTTTCCAGCTCTCATGTGTTTGCTTTTGTTTTGGTATCACGATGGAGAAAGTGAAGGTTCGTTTGACCTACCTGAACGCAAACGCGTTCTGATTTCAGTTCCCTGCAGGTAACTCCGATCGATCTAATTTCGCATTGGTTCTAAAAAAATTTCGATTCTTTCTAAAAAAATATCAGACCCATTTATCTGATTGGACAAGCTTAGGATTTTGAATTTTTTGTTCGTCATCAATTTAAAGGAGGCTAATGAAGCAATTAATATAAAACAACTTATTTCGTTCGTTTTTCTACATCGATTTCAACCTGTACAGTACTAAAGAGGTAGGGATAGTTCTTTAGAAGATGAAAGAAAGCAATAAAGAACGTGACGGAAAGGAAATGATAGGGAAACGTGATTCGTTACAAAATCGATGATACATTCTATCTTTGATCACGAATCACGAAGGAATGATTAGTCTTCCGCCTTGTAATTATATTTAATAATTGGCATCAAGCCCAGGATAAGATAAAGATTGCCAGACGACATTAACAAGCAGTATGTAACACCAATTGCACAACAGGAACAATAGACAGCTTCGCAACATTAATATAAAATAACTATTTAGTCTGCTTCGACTAAAGTTAGGCTTGTATTTTGAAATCGAAGCGTTTGTCACCACGGCCGTGTACACACCTCTATCTTTCTCTTTCATCCACAAAGTCCAGAAAAAGGATGGCCTGATAACAGTGATTAAACTTTCCAGTTGTTGTCCAGTACAGTGAAATCGTGGCTCGAGCTCGTAACGAGTCAAATGGCCGCCTGGATCGTCTCGTTTCTGCGGTTCCTCAAGCTCCTATTCTTCATGTAGGAAACTAACGAACAACGCGTCCCGTCTCGTCTCTCCCTAACCGTGCCGGTACCGGCGCCGTTCACGCCCGTTCCCCGACCTTTCGCTACCGCGCGCTTGACCCCGAACGACCTTGAGAACGCCTCCTGTCGACGGAAAGCTCGTCGTGGCACGTTAACAGAGTACACCCTGTGCGAGCTTCCTCCGGAGCCGGCTTTACTCACGACGGCGACGGTTAACCACTATCCTAAAACGGAGCTGTTTGAACGACCCTTTCAGGTGAAAAGATCGTCGGCCGCCGCGCTGTTCGCCGAACGATCGAGGATGAAGCTAGACCTGGCTAGGAGGTTAGTGAAGCCAGAGTTGAACATCGAGGAGAATGATCTCGACGCAACCACGGCCTCCTCCTCTTTCAGCAAAACCGGCGACGAGTCTAAGACAGGACGCGCGGAAATCCGGGAGGAAGAGGCGAAAACTGTTTCTTCCGGATCGGGAAAAGACCTTGCAAGAAAATTAAAGAAAGGGCGGATCATCGCGGAAAGAATGGTCACTTCGATTTCTGTCCAAGAGAGATCCGCGATAGAAGGAACTACCGAGCCGTATCAAACTGTTTTATCCAACAATAACTCTTCCACGGAAGAAAGATCGGTCAACACGTCCCGGATCCATTTGCTTAATCGCGGTGGGAATAAATCAAAAGAGGAGCGCTCGAGCAAGGATGGAAAATCGAATCGACGTCCCGAACACAATGACCGCTTTACTACATTTAAGCCGAAGAAATCTCACACTTATCAATCCCGCAACAACAAATACCAAGAATCTAACGAACAGAATTCGACGACATCACCTAAGAAGTCTTACGTCTCGACGCAGGGGAGACCGCAAGCCTCGCAAGAAGAAGACGTTACCAAGAAACCGAAGTTTGGTATCGGCAAGCCGACGTTCAGGCCTCGTTATAGTAAACGAGCCAAACTGAAGTCTGAACAGAAGAGCGAGTACCTATCTACGGTTACGACGGAAGTGCCGATATCAACCAGCAGATACTCGCGGAAGAAAGCAGTGAAGGCAATTGATGAGAAGTTAAAATCGATCACAACGGAAGTACCGGCATCTCAAACGAAAAAATTGGAGTTCCGGCCAAGGACCTCGACTTACCGAAGACATTCGGAAGTACCGACGACCTTGGTGCAATCCACCCCCAAGAGTGCAGGGGTTGCTATCACGCCTAGATCGTCCAGACTCCAGAGTACCCCGGAGACCTCCAAAGAGAAACTATCGGTATCGCAGGAACCTCAGGTGAGCCTGACGATCGCGAACCAGACGCAGGAAACGACGGGGATTACTGGCAGCAGCAACGGAGACAGTGGTAACACGAATATCTTCAATCCCACGAGGAGCACGGAGTTTCTAGTTGGGAACGACACGGTACTGGAGCAGCTGAGAAGCACCGTGGCTCCTTTGCTCAGCTCTCTTGGTAACAAGACTCCAGTGTTCTCCGGATCGTACAGCAATGTCAACACCGCGGTAAATAATTTGATATCAAATCGATCTCGCTATTAGTTATATTAAACAATTCGTTACTCTTAATGTTACAATATAAATTATTCATCTTTGATTTTTAACTTGTATTAAATTGAATGAATAACAAAAATCCTTCAATTTATCTCAGTTTTAGACTGAAAGTTTAGGAAAACTGCAATTTTTTTAAAATTGTAATCCTTCCTAGCTAACATTAATCGATTTTGATAAAACTTTGTACATGCATACAACTTATTTATTGTTAGATCTATTAATGGTTCAATACTAAAAAAATTATTTCATTTTAAAAAGTGTGTCAATAATTTTTTGAAACTGTAAATCTGTCACTATAATGTTTAGTATTACGTAAAGTGAGATAGATTATGCATTAATGATGTATTCATATTCATGAGCTATAGGAACTAATTTTGAAGCAATGAATTTGTGAACAGAATTCACCACCCAGAATCACCCCTAGTGGACAGCCACCCCGATTTAGTGCAAGGTACAAAGGAGCCGAGCTGTTTATCAGAAAACCGAATAGCATTTATCAGCCCACTGTTCCATCGATCACCAGTTCGTCCACTACACCTGTCACTCCCGTAGAGGTAAGACAGCCAAAGTACTTAATGTTCAAACAATTTATTGACAAGATTTACGAGATATTCACAAATATCATTAATTCGTAAAATAGCGTAGATCGAATATATTAAACTCGTGTAAAATTCGTATTAGGAAAGAATAAATGTTCTTCGATGTAATTAGAAAATCATGGAATAAGCTGGCTGCGAGATTTAATAGAATAATTGTGATGTATACAATTTAT